GTCACATGTCATTCGGTATGAATTACAACTCCATTAACGTTCGAAGCAACCTGCGAGCATGCATAATGCTAGTGGATCGAGCGGATGATACTCCAACAGCGAAGATGTTGATTTATGGGGGGCAGAAAAAAAAAGAGCTGCTGGTGATAGTAACGTCTTTCGTCGAAGGGAGGCACACCGCAACAAATTGATTAAGTTTTTGGCCCTTGAACCAAGACCGTCGGTTACTTCTAGTTTGTGATCAAATAATAATGGTTCTTTCGTTTCTACTGGAGGTGGTTGGGGACATGTTTCTCTGTTCTTGGATCTAGAGAGTTGGATCTGGAGAGAAGAAGGTCCAGGTGAAAGGATGTAGTAGGAGGCAAAGGTAGGAGGAAATTTGCAAATTGAGAGATTTATTTGAAGAGTTGGAAGAACCAGGAAATGAGGACAGATGGGAGAATATGGAAGCTGGAAGACATTTGAGTAGAGATTTAGATGCGTGTGCAGTAAAATGTACTGTGAAATTCCTTTTGCTTTGTGTTGCTCTGAAGAGTTGGAAAAATGGGATAATGTGGACAGGTGAATCAGTGATATATCCATGTAGGCCCTAGACCTGACTTAGGGGATGTAAAAGACTAAGGTAGTAGAAAGCTTAAGACATTAAATATTTAGGCGAGCATTCCATAGGGATAAAGTAAAACTCCTTTATTCCGATTCTTTGGAGTTGGAAGAATGAGGATGTGGACAGGTGAGAGAGTTAAATGTGTAGAAATGGAGTAGGGTATCTAGGTTAGGGTATGTGGAATAAGAACGGAAATATGTAGATGAGTGTATGTAATGGAGGCCAATGAAGACTGAGTTTCATTTTGACTTTATAGACTTTGAAGAATGAAGAGTTACACAGGCGAAAGAGTTAATTATTTAGAGACTGGATAGGAGGTTTAGGTTAGGGTATGTGGAACAAGAACTGAAGGATGTAGACGAGTGTTCAGTCGAGATGAGAATTACTTTTCTTAGATTTTTGTTACTTGGAATAATCAGAATATAGACAAGTGAAAGACAGAGTAGAAGATCTAAAAATAATTGAGAGATTCCTAAGTTATTCATTACCACTTAAATAATATATTGACCTGGGCAGGTGTCATAGAATATATTTTTAATGAATGAAAAATGGTATCAATAAGTAAAATACTGGTATGCATTAGGGTACTTTTCATGTGCCCAGGGATACGAATTAGCGAAAATTCGATCTGACAAAGGACTACCCTCCTCCGTCATCAGGGCGAACCTCCTTGGAAATGGCGGTCGTCCCGTGACGCCACAAACTACTAGAAAATTGATAGTAACTTCGTGCTTGATTATCATACCCGTGTACGTCTCACATTTACGGTTTCACTATAATCTACGCAGACTATCGAACGAAGAATTACTAATCTTTTCATTCGAAAATTGTTATTAACATATTATTGTAAATATTTCCTATTAACCATTGAATTGTTCATTAATTTCACGTACTGTACCGCTTGGAACGCAATGGAAGTTTCAATATTATCGCCATCGGATGGTAATTAAGCCAGTTTATTTCGGACACATTTTTCACCGAAGCTATCAACGAAATTACACACGCCCGATGTAATGCAATTTCCGTGCGTTTTCAGAATATGTTACTGGGACATCCATAATCACTGTAGCCGGCGATAAAGCTCACAGCGGATTGTGTTCACTGGTAGGTAATAAGTGTCAAAAGTGGACTGGCTATTTTGCAATTAGGGAAATACAGATTAAGACCGTAGATGAGCTGTAATTTTCGATCTGAAAATATCGTGTACTGTCTTATCCATCTGTAGAAAATTACTTTCATTGACTATTTATTACTCAATTTGAAAAATCATGTATTCTGTCAAATTCAAGGTTTTATATTCCAAAATAATTACCTACTTAGAAAAGTAATTGTCTACTCAAGAGAATAATTATCTACTCAGAAAAGTTGACTATTCAGCGAAATTTGACAGAGGTAGATGAATAGATATCTAGTGATTTGGATATTTAACGATCAGGAGATCCAGTGATTTACAGATCCAGTAATCAAGAAATCTAGTGATCAGAAGATTTAGTGATAAGATCTAATGAATAGAAGATCTAGTGATTAGAAGATCTAGTGATCAGAAGATCTAGTGATCAGGAGACCTAATGATTAGAAGATTCAGTGATCAAGAGATCCAGACTAAAAGAACACCCATTCTTCTGTCAACTTCACACCTCCATGTTCTGAAAATCACAAAAATTGGCTGAATAGTCACATGAAGGACAATTTTTAAGCATAGATAATCACTCAGATTTAACTGGGATAAACAGTCCCAGCTACAAGATAAGTCAAATAGGACTCCAGGGTTCTAAAGAGTTGGGAGTCCAATTAAAAATGGAGTCCCCAGAAAAATAATCTGAGGTGTACCCTAGAGACACACGTGTAAAGTAAGAATTTACTCTCGGAGGATACGTTCCCAGGAATATCGATCCTCGTAAGAATTTCATTCACGTTGTCAACGTAATAATCGTACCGGTTAAATCCAAATCGCAATAAATTAAATCACACGTAGGTACTATGTATACCGTCGGGGGCGCCGCCATTTTCACCGGAGGATTAATATAACACCTGTGATTGGCAATTATTATTATACGAGATCAGGATCGAGAAACGCGGCTGACACATTCCCTCATCTATCGGAACCAACTATTTTTGGTCCCAGACAAGGGGTATATCTGTCTGCGGTGTGCGTCGCCGTATTCATGACCCATGCATGAAGTGTGATGGAGAAACAGGTGAGAGGGGTGGTGGGAGTCATTCACCTCCAATTCATTTATCTTGCAGGAGACGAAGACTTTTCTTTCCGTTCGTTGAAGCAGAAATAATTAAACAGTAATGGAAGCTGTCATGGCGTCTTTATAATGAACAAAATCGTGTCAATAAAATATCCTTTTTCTTTTGTTCAATTATCTAAACATGTTCAAAGAATTATTATAGCTTTCTTCAGCCATATGTCACCTAATTTTAATCGAATAAAACTAATCGAAAATTATCCTAAATTTTTATCCTTAAACTAGAATACAGCTTTAGCGACATTGTAGAGCTTAAATTATATCTCTATACGATATATATTATATTTTTATATACACATTTTCCCAACTGAATTTTTTCCTCGGTATCAAATTGACACAGTGGTAAGAGATTCCTACAACGAAGAGGTAAACAGTTAAAAATGGAAAATTCTTTAAAATAAAGTCACGGAGCCTGAGCCTAACTGACCTAACATCATTTCTTACAATGGAAGGACCCCAACTGTCCGACTTTGATTTTAACAAGGTATTGTAAGTTGATTGTATACAATTTTCTAATTATATACGTGGAATATTAGGTGTAAACACTTCATGCTTTGAAGAATATAAACAATTAACCACTTCTGAGGAGAAAAATCTGTCAAATTGACACACAAGGGACGGACCACGATTAATAACTACAGTTAGTTATATTAACATTATGAATTATAAGAATAATATTTTTTTCTCTTGAAAATATACTTAATTTAAATTTATGTAAAAATATTTCTGGAACAAAAATAATGAAATAAAAATTGCGACGTACCAAACGCAGCGTCATCATAAAAAAGAATGACGTTCGATTCCATAGAAAGTCAGAATCACTGAACGCTCATGTAAATCGAAAATGCAAAGGGCCCACCCCGGTTGGATCATAAATTCGGCGTGGTTCGATTCCGTCCCGCGGCAAGACCATCCCTAAATCTCTCGCGCTTCTCTACGCAAGAAGTTCAAGTTAATCCGTCGGATGCATTAGACGGCGTAATCCATCAACCGGCCGACTTGCAGGTAACCGTGAAAACGAAAATGGGGCCTGTAATGCAATTACGTACGGAACGCGCGCGTTCCCTCTATCCGCCATCGCCCTTGTCCCTCCGACCCACCATTTTGTGCGACGAGGGAGGACCTTCCAGCGAAGAACCGGACGGAAGAAAAAGACCAGTGTCGGAGCAACGTTTCTACAGCGATTCTTTCCGAGATCTTGTATACAGGGTGAACCACGAATCGTGATCAGCAGAGATTACTCTGTTATTAGCAGTCCGATCGAAAATGTTTTTATCGGGTATAGCATGGTTTCAAGAGAGTTTTAACGTGATTGTAGGAAATTTTTTGTCAACTCTTTTTTTTTTCATAATTTTTCAAGGTCACCTTCAATTTTTTGTAAATATATCTATAATTTTTTTACGCCTATCTGTTAGAGGATTTCAAGACGAATTCGGTAAGTATCATGACATAACATGTGTTACTTTTGCTTTTCATCTGGGTCGAGAAAAGATTAAAGAAGTATTCGAACTGTAATATTATAAAGAGTATCGTATGCTACGCCATTGTACGCGTTCCGATGTTGAGCTCTTGCCTACTGTTTGTAAACATTTCCTTCTGTAAATTGGAACCCATCTGATGATGAATATTGAATACTTCTAAGTACTGAATTCTTCTGAATACTGAATACTTTTAAGTACTGAATTCTTCCGAGTACTGAATACTTCTAACTACTGAATTCTTCTGAATACTGAATACTTCTAAGTAGGTACTGAATACTTTTAAATATGCAATACTTCCAACCAGCGAATACTTGTGTCTACTGAATTCTTCTGAATATTGAATACATCTGAGTACTTGAGTGTCAGTGAATGAGTATTTAATTCATGAGTCATAGAAAGTGGAAAATTCCCTTGGATACTTAAAATATTCTAATTTCTGCACGTACTGTCCCAATTCTTCCAATCATTTAGTGTTTTATTTATGTAGATACTTTTTCTGAAGTTTCTGTTTGAGAATAATTTATTATTGTATACCAATCAACACGCGTTTCTAGGTGATACTATTTTTGGGTAAAAGTACTTACAAGACATCATATGTTTAACAAAATGTTGTATTTTAACTCAATACGAATAACGGTGAAGAAATAATTGAGTACTCACTTGGACTCTGGCTTCCGTTAAGTCGATCTTCATAGCGATCTCTTCTCTGGTGTAGATATCCGGATAATGAGTCTCCTGGAAGGCGCGCTCTAGCTCCTTAAGCTGAGCCGAGGTGAAGGTGGTTCGTATCCGACGCTGTTTCCTCTTTTCCGCTAGACCGTCGTGCCCGGAATATGCTTTGTACCCTAATCCACCTGAAAATTGAAACGACAGAATTTTTCGTTAGACTGCCACATCATTATAGCATAGAATGAATATTACATTTTGCTTCAGTAACAACTAACGGCATTCGTAGTTATGAGTTACATTTCTAAATACTTCAGGATACTTGAAAATTCTTTAGAAACGTAATGATAGTTCAGAAATACTTCCGACACTTCAGAATATTTTAGAATACTTAGGGATACTTACAGATACTTCAGAATACGTGAGGATACTTAAAGATATTCTAGAATACTTAAGGATACTTCAGAATACGTGAGGATACTTAAAGCTATTCTAGAATACGTGAGGATACTTAAAGATATTCTAGAATACTTAAGAATATTTAAAGATACTTCAGAATACGTGAGGATACTTGAGAGTACTTCAAAGTAACTTGAAGGTACGTAAGAGTACTTGAGAGGGTACACAAGAGTACTTAAGTATACCTGAGGGTACATAAGAGTACTTAAGAATACGTGATGGTACTCTAGAGTACACGAAGATACTCAAGGGAACTTGATGGTACCAGCGGATACTTGAGAATTCGAAGAGTAAATAGATTCATTTGGTAATAAATTACAAAGAACATCATCCCCACACCAAACATCAAAATCATAACAACTCCTCGGTCGGTAAAAAATTCAGTCTTGTATCAGCTCCAAGTACAAACTATACACATACAGCTTAAGTAAAGACCTCTATTAACGGTACTTCAAAAACCTCGGAACATGCAAATTTTCACCCATCACACATCCACTATCCGAACCCAGTTGGACCCACCCAGAGCTCCAAAACCGTAATCCTTCGCAATACCTCCTAAAATTTCCCAAACGAAATCCATACACGCGTACTTCGTTGCTCCAGACGCTTGATGCTGATAAAACATGAAGAAAATCTCTGTCGGATTACATGATCCAGCATCACACGGTTGCCGTGAGTTGCTTCCTGTGTGGATACCGTCGGGAGGCTTATAGATTATAGAATATAGGTGAGGATGGTCGGGATACACCGAGGATCGTAACCATAGCAATGAGTGACTGAAAGAGGGGGGGTTGGGGGTGGAGAGGGTAGAGAAAGAGTGGTGCACGGTTTAGAACAGATAAAGAGAATAGAAACGATCGTTGAGGAGTTGGAGGGAGAGGGGGGAGGGAGATGGGACGAGGGGAGCAAATGAGCGAGGGAAAGAGTGACAAAGAGGGGCAGAGGAACGTGATATAGTCCGTGGGTGAGGGCGAAGAGGAGAGGGACGAGACACATCCATTGATTTTCAGTGCCATCTTGTCGTCGTTCCTCGAGGAAACACTGTGGCGGGCTGCTTGGAGACGACGACTCGTGGGCCATGCGACCAGCCATCGCAGTAACTTTCCCTTGGGAAAAGGAAAAGACCAACCCTCTTTTTTTTCCGGCCAAGACGACGATCTCCTTCGACCCGCCCTTCCCTTCCTACCTTCCCCTTTTTAGCCTCTGGCTACACCGTTCCTCGAATTGATTGTCCTTTCATAAATTCCGTCGTTTTAACGATGCAGGACGCTTGTTTGCGCCCGTGGAGCGGGAATTCGTTGGATTTATCGAGATCTCAGAGGGGGTAGATGATTCGATTGTTCGGTTTTGGGCTTGGAGACGTGTTGGTTGGTTGACTGAGGGGTAAGAGGATGAGGTAGTAGGTTTTGCGGTAGTGATAGGTGATGGGATGATTGATTGGAGAATTTTCGTGGCAGAAGCGGAGGATTTTCTTGGGATCGTAAGGGGTTGCAGAGAGAGAGAGATGGAGTATCTGAGATTGATAATTAAGAAATTATAATTTAAGAGGATTGAGTATAGATGTACATGTTGTATTCATCAGGTGTGAATTGGGTGGTAATAATAGTTACTTGAGGAGACTCGGAATTAATTCAGAATACGCTGAAAGGTTTCAGAATACTTCAGAATACTTCAGAAGAATTCAGGAGAATTCAGAAGAGTTCAAAAAATTTCAACAGATTTCAAAAGAATTCAGAATACTTCAGAAGAATTCAGAAGAGTTCAAAAGATTTCAACAGACTTCAAAAGAATTCAGAATACTTCAGAATACTTCAGAAGAATTCAGGAGAATTCAGAAGAGTTCAAAAGATTTCAACAGATTTCAAAAGAATTCAGAATACTTCAGAAGAATTCAGAAGAGTTCAAAAGATTTCAACAGATTTCAAAAGAATTCAGAATACTTCAGAAGAATTCAGAAGAGTTCAAAAGATTTCAACAGACTTCAAAAGAATTCAGAATAATTCAAAAGAATTCAAAACAATTCAGAAGAATTCAAAAGACTTCAGAAGGATTCAGAAGAATTCAGAAGGATTCAGAAGAATTTAGGAGACTTTATAGGACTACAGAAGACTTCAAAGAATTCAGAATTCTTCCGAATACTTCCGAATACTTCCGAATACTTAATTATCAATGAGTAATAGGCTTGATGTAATTTAAGGATACTTGAAGACACTTGAGAATGCTTGCAATACATGATGACAAGTAATGCTAATTCATTAATACAGAATTGATAAATAATCGATTTAACTAAGGGATAACAAGTTGTTTAGGAGATCAGGAATAAGTTATCCTTGTGAAATTTCTTGACAAAAAAATAAAAAAAAACACTTTAGTATGTTAATCTATTTACATATTTCTATTGGTTTAAGAAAACATTTATGTGTTCTGTATTGGAAAAGATTTAGCATTGAAGACATTGTAAGTTGAGCCGGCAGTTTTTCAATGTGAAATACTTAATTGAGAATTTAATACATCAACAAGATAAATTGGGAGTTGCTGAATTATATTGTAAGTACATTGATCATTTCATATATTCATTACGTATGCAATTGTATACAATACAATCAGACAAGAATTGCAGACACAATTAACAAAATTTTAATTCTATCTTTAAATGTGTTTTCCTAATTCCTCCTGTTATCATGAATTACTAAGCAAAACTGAGAATGTACAATGTATTCACAAAAAACAGATACTCTGGAAATTATTAGTTTAAAGATGAATGGTAAGCAGACCAAAAAAAACAAACAAATAACATTGCAACCCACCTAATGGTACCGTGAATCTATCGTATATTTACAATGGATAGATCTACATGATCGTAAGATAAAACATAGGTATTTGGACGTTAATTACTAGAATGTGCTGCACATTCATGATAATTCATATTTTTATAAACTATTATTCATTTTAAACTCGAATAAAAACGTTATCCCTATTTTTTAAGATTTTCACATTATTCCCTCCTAAACTTTTACTTCTGTTATAAGTTGCATACAAAATTTTGCAATCTGCAATAAAGAATCACTATACACATTTTCATTTTCACAACGAAAATAGTTGAAAATTTCGACACCAGAACCCAAAGAATTTACTGTAAACTCAAATAATTATTTCTGAAAACGTCTATCCTATCAATAATAGTACAATTATTAAACGGTGGATGTTTACGAAGACTTTAATTCTCCCATTAGTAAGCCCACTAAAAGTACGTCGAATAATAAAATAAAATTCTATTTCGTCATGAAGATTTTTGTAAGCAAAAAATATATAAAATCCACAGTTCAACCATATATAAGAAAAGTAAAATTAACAATATGTTTTCATTATATGTACTAACCACAGCAACATTCAACACAAATAAAAGAAACAGTGAAATTAGACTTACGTGATTCATTACACTTACTACAGCTACACTGGGCACAATAACAAAACCGAAAATAAAAATAGAAAAGAAACAGTATTCCAAAGACTACAATACACTGCACCACGTCCAACTGGTCAGAGTCACTATACAGTAACACGGCTGTTACCACACTAAACCTTGAATACAAATGCGATTTTACGTAGCATACCAGCCTACAAGTACCTACCAAAAAAAAACAAACTATCGGTAGCACAGACTAAGCACAACTGACGAAACTCAACCCACAGCAAAACCGTTATTATATCCAACTCTGCCTATGGTCATGACCCGACCCAACATACCTACTCAATGAGAAATCTCACAAAACCAAAACAAAAGACATAAATATTGTACATTATACACTTCTTATACACAAGTTACAGGAATGGTCCAAATTTGGCTACCTTCCTTTTTAGAAAGCTGTCGAAGAAGTCATATTCCATAGTTCCTAACCGTCATTCGTTTCATGTGTCAATTTGACAAATTTTCGTTCTAAGAAATGATTGTTTATATCTTTAAAATTACCGAGCGTCTACACATGTATCATTAGGAACTTATACACAGTGGGTGATCCGTTAAAGAACAGTTCGGAGAGCGAACAAATCGGACACATCTGCTATTAAGGATCTTTTGAAAAAGTAGGAGGATGTCAGAATAACGGTCTTAGAATGGCACTCAAACCATGTTGAGGTCAATAGGCTTGGGGATCTTTACAACGACTATGCTATTAATCACTTTCGAAGAATCCTGAAGAACAGACGGAAGCAATCGACATTAGACACATTCTTTAATTTCCCACAAACGAAAAAAAAAAAACAAGATAAATAAACGTAGTATTAACAATAATTTTTATTTATTTTTTGAATTTCCCGAACGAATTAATGAAACTCCCATAAAAATCTATGGTAAATCGATGATAGGATAAGGAACAATTCGGATAACGAACATTTTCTTTCAACGGATTATGTTCGTTCCACTGTACAATCATCTTACAAACCCCGTTAACCCCTTGCCCTACGATTTTCTTGATGTCTGCAGACTCCAGAATTACATCATTGTCGATAGTTTCACAGAAACGAAAGGAATTCTGTAGTCATCACAACTGTATTTTTATTGTAAAAGTAATATATTAATGCATTTCGGTTCGACTCAAAGAAAACTGAATAATATTCTTCTTTCTTGAATTGATTTTAAAATCAAAGTCGTGGAATTGGGGTCCTTCCCCTGTCGAGAGCAAAATGCGTGAAATCGACACGAGGAACTGACGGGTGTTAAAAAAAATAAGACAACCACTCACTTTGCAGATTAATGGCCGACGGGAAGATCGCGTGTCGATGGACCTCCTGGGACCTGGCGGCCATCACGGAGCACGGTGTAGAATGGGCCCCATGGTGCGTGTGGGCATGAGAGTGGCCGGTGTGATGGGCCCCGAGCGGTGCCGCGCTTCCACTGCCAGCAGCGCCCGTGTTCCCCGGATAACCAGCAGCCCTGGCCGCAGTGTACCGATAAGCAGCCTGGCTCATCTGCGAGCAAGAGCTCAGGTCCCCATATCCGCATTGCATCTCGCTGGCAGCCAGAGCGCAGCTGGACGCCTCGAAGCCAGCAGCGGCGGCAGCAGCCGCTTGGTTCAGGTACGAATAATCCATGGTTGCACTTGTCGCACTGGTAAACTGTCTATCAATGAAGAGCCTGCTTAGTCTCGAAGGTCAGACGAGGGTAACACAAGGAGAACGACCGCGGATCACCTGGACAATTCATCGAAGCCTATCGTTCCATTGACGAGGTACAAGACTCTAAAAGGTCCAATGTCTTCCTCCGCTCGTAAATCCTTGGATCCAAAGTCGATACGCGACAGGATGGGTCTAGATAGCTCCAGGACGCAGTGATTTCTCCGTTGGTTCGATTAATACCAAGCGATCGCCAGAATGACGAAGATTCGATTACCCATTTAGGGTATATCCCAATGGGGTCTGGAGCGCCAGGGGCACCTAGGGGGAGGGCCCCCGCGGCCTTTACTCCAGGCCCAACCGGCCCGTCCCGTAGCGATTCGGTTACTCTTCCGCGGGTGAATCCCTCGGATAATCGGCGTGCCAGGACCGTGAGGCGCAACACCGCGCGTTGCAACGCGAACGGGCGTCACGTATACTTCCACACACACCGCGCTGCGGCCCGTTCCCCGCGGTAACACCGAGCGCCGAGATACCGTGTATTAAAGGGAGAAGACCCCGGGGTGGACGGGCCGCCGCCTACCTCCTCGATACCGGCTTATGACGACGCGCGCTGGGTAATCGGATCAAACGGGATATCAAATTATTGCGATTATACCGGTCGGGGATAGAAAGAAGTTTTTCGGCCCGGTTAAGAGAGCCCGAGACGACCGACTGGTGGGTCTCCTCAAAATCAAATGATAAGCTTAATTCAATAACAGAACGGAGAAGGGTGCAACGGCGGGAGGCGTGGCCAACGGCGGCTGTTGCCGTGAAACGGGTATGGTCGGGTGGTCGAGGCTGAACTGGACTCTGATTCGTCGATTGATATCCAGCCCAGCCCCACCTGCGTTCAGCTGGAGCACAGTCAACGCCCCTCTACCGAGGTTCCTTCGCGTTCACCCACCCCATACACCCGTCTTTGCCATCCTACCACGACGACTACGACCTACCCACCCATCCCCCACCCCAAACAGCCATCAGCTGGAATGAACGCTATCATTCGATGATGCCAACCCCTCTACCCGGACGCGATTTTACGATCGATTCCGGGGCAGGACCGCTTCCGCTGGACAACTGAAACAAGGTTTCTAACGGACTCGAGCTACCTACCCCCTCCCCCCTCACAAACCATAGATGTGTTTATCGGTTGTGTCTTATGCGGACGGAGTTCGGTGCGACGCGACTGCTTCGAGGATGTTGGATATCATTAATATGGTTATTAACCTCTTGGAGGTTTTAGTGTGTCTAGGGGAAGGATAGTTACATTGTTTGGGTGCGGCAGACCGATTTTGGTTCTATGGGTTTGTAGGTGCTAGGGGTCAAAGAGGGTGGAAACGGGAGTCGGATGGTTTGAGGCAATTTGGTAATTAACTGTTCAATAGTTAGTGTGATTAGAAAATTATATTTTCAGGAGTTTTTAATGTATAGGACCACTTTTGTGTTAACCAGAGTTCGGCAGAATTTTATTCGAATAATACACAGTGAAAAGCAGCAGTATCTAAGGGTGTCGTTCTGAGCTTTAAACACTTAATGAGATTAAATAATTGTTCGACATATGTCGATTCATTCATAAAGAAGTATTATTTTTTTATAAAAATAGAAATGTCCGTGTTTAAACAATTACAAATGACAAAATATTTTTTTTATCTTTTATTCGTTATTCGAAACTTTTTATCTAGATAATGAGTTTACCCATTTCTGGTGTTAACTAAGAGAAATAATTTTTTTTCTGTGTAGTGATGTTTGGGCATTAAAGGACCAAAAGTTAAATAAAAAGGGGACAAAATAGGTCGGCTTAAAATCGTCAAAATAACAAGATTCAACGTAGATATCAATCTCATAAATTTGAAATAACGATTTAGGGGTCTGGGTGTGAAAGGGTTAAGGTCACCAACAAGGGAACACCGCGGACGCTGCTTCTCCTGCTGAATCATCCTTTAATGATGTGAAAACTAACCTCAAAGTCAAATAAGCCTTCCACTTCTTCGCGTGGAACTCTCAAACTACAAAACAGAAAAAAATGTTTCGAACTCAAGTTTAATGGTACAATAAACTCTATAAGCTTGCATTAACAAAATTTTTAGTAGTGTCTTAAAATATTTTCTTTAATTTTAGTTAAATCGATGTTTGTTAAAATAGTAAATTTTCATATACATCCGTCGTCTAATAATTCCTAGTAACGTCTAAACGCAATAACAACAAATATTCATTTCGTCGAGGAATCAGAGTCGTAGATTCGCATATTTCTCAGGTTGCCGTGAATTGTCCCATCGCGAGAAAGGCGTTAAAACACCGATAAACTGAGGCAGTTTCGTTCCTCGGTGCGGAATAATTCATCGATTCGACGGTAGGAGAATGAAGGATCAAAACGGAATATAAAGGACGAAGCATGATTTATCCCCTGGATTTCACGAAATTACATGACTAAAACTGACACGGGGCTTGTGCTTAGATATAGGTGGTAGTAACCTGTGCGACACTTGTTTCGCACTTGTTCTCACGAAAGGGCCACGATGAGAGCAGTCCTGGTGCCACGACCCTCTTTTCCCCATCTCCACCCCCAACCCCCACGGTGTCTCGTCCCAGGAGGATTCTCTTCTAGGGTACACGGGGAGCGTAGTGTGCCACCAAACCGTCCACGGTGTGTATACTGTGAATACACAGGAACAAGTGCCCCCCCTATCCTCCCCAATGGCGTAGCCTCGTCAATAATTCCTCGACATTGTAACGAAGGGGACTCGAACAGCTTGGAACACGTTGAAACGGTTCAACGTCCAGGGTAAATATACAACTAGTTCCAAGCGATACTAAGAAATTGGGTGATCTCTCTACCTGTGTTGGGTCTAGTGATTTCTAGTGAAATTGAGGGTTGAACATCCTGGAACTTCGTTTTGGGGCCTCCGATAGAGGATTCTGTTCAAGGAGGCAGAAGCAGGTGAAGAGCTAGGGTCTGCGTTAGGATGAAAAGTAGAATGATTCGTCTAGAGGTTGAACATCCTAGACCCTCGTTTCTGGGCCTCTGATAGAGGATTTTTTTCAAGGAGGTAGAAGGTGAAGCAAATAAAGAGCTGGCGTCAGTTAAGGTATAACGAGGAATCCTAAGGTCTAAACAGGACCTTAAGCACTTACGTTCTTTAAAAAGATAAACTCAATTTTGTAGGATTGTTTATAAAATTTTACTTTTTTTGTAATTGCTCGATAGATATTATTTAGTTTTACTGGTAAATTGTACTTTGAACTTGGTTTTGTAAAAATTCAGTAACATTTGGTGTAACACCAAATATAGCTTCTAGATTAAAGTTATCATAGACCTGATACAATTTTATATTAAATTGTTCACTATAAAATTATATAAATATAATTTTCGAGTGTATAATTGGATTACATAAATATGATTCTTATCGTTGTATACCTTCTGTAATAATTCTCTTGTAAATAATACTCGAAATTTATAAATAATTTAATACTCAACAATTTGAATGTAAAATTATAATTCATATTTTATAATCAATTACCAAAGAATCATTTCAATCCCCGGTAAATACGCCACTGTGAACGAGCACAAACACATTCGTGCGCGCGCGTTCATACGTACACGAGCGTGTAAACGGAGTTCCGTCTTTTATATCAATACCGAGAGAACGTCAACCCCCCTTAGCGGTCTGATACATATGTCCTTGATTTGTCGGGAGAATAATATTCTCCTGGAAAGTTGATTAAATATTGGTTAGCGATCTCGAAACACCCCTGCTCTTGGCCCCGCTGGGCGATTCCACCCCATCGGGTCACAGGACCCACAGGAATACAATTTAATATTTCCACGTGTGTCCGGGGCGAAAACTGATAATTTTTCCTGCCGATTTACCCCGGCTGTGTCATATGCTCGTCGATTACTATATTGTCAAGAGGATCCGCGGTTTTTTTTTCTCTCTTCACACGCGTGTATGTTGGGATTGTCACGCGTGAGGTTGCGGATTCCGAGGATCGAAAAATTGGAGTTAATTTTCGTAAATGGAAATGATTGATAAAAATCATAGCTGGTGTATTAACCCTTTCAGACCTGGTGGACATTTTTGTGTACATTTCACACAAAGCCTTAGGTACAATGTATTGCAGATCCATATTATTCTTATAAATTTGAATTTTTTTATGTTCTGAATGTTTTTAACAGGTCTTGTGAATTTAGAATTGAATACCAAAACCTTTTTTAGAAATGAAAAAAATTTTATTTAAATAAAATATCTAAACAGACCACTGACTTGAAATGTCTAATCGAATATTTCTTTATCCTTAAAAGAAAATTCAGGTCTGAAAGGGTTAAAATAGTAACTGTAAACAAAATCAGAAAAAGTGATGTATATAATGTCCAATTCTACTAAAAATTATCGGGCATTTTCTGTTTGACAACGTAATATGAAGGACAGATAGGAATGTCATATATTAAACAGTATACAGGATGCTTCAATTATCTTGATTTCCACAAAAGTTACGTAAAATTATATTTATAATAATATACACATTGTGAGTTAATTTCCATATTGGATAATAGGAAAACCATAAATATTTGATATTAATGCGAAGACTCATTTTTTTAAACACTTTTGTGTATACTCAAGTTGAATGAAACAGCCTTATAATAAAAAAAAAATTAAATTACTTACAAGTATAAAGAGGCCCCACTGTTATCTTCAGTGAATGAAACGATGGTAAAGAAAAGAATTTGTCACAATATTTAATCCTTTTATACTCGAAACATTTTCTGTATTGTCTCACTGTCACTAGAGAAACTCGAGCAATTTGTTTTCCGTGGAATAAATATCATAGAATATTTCAAAAAATATTCGAAATCGACAATGTGCGTTCATAAGTATAATGTAGACATACAATTATCGTAAACTGGTATAATGAAACATAAAATCCATTAACGTAGTACAATTTCCGTCGTCGCCCTGTAAAATTGTTGTTGGGGCTTGATTAAACATGGCCAGTTCTTATTATTTATTTGCTTTCCATGGGGCGTTACTGCGTCGTAATCCTATTGGTCACGTATCGCCAGCCTAATTATTCCTTCGCTGTAATTATTTCAATCTTTCCGCACCGAAAACCACTTTGTTTAATTTATAACCTAACCTAACACACGTACACGACTTCATTGAATTACAAACGTTTACACAAAATACAAACTTTTACGATTTAATTTAAGTAAATTGAAACTAAGCTGAAATTATTTTATGTACTATATTGGAATTTAGATAATTGTTTGTATTATAAATTTATGAAATTCTATCCCGTTCACTGCACTTTAAATTTACCGTAATACGAAGATGTAATGCGGGACATTTGAAAAAACCGCAGTGGTGGCGCCACCGTATGCATTGCGCCTCCACTTTTGGCGGGAATCCTGCAATGAGAGGGCGGCGATGGATGGTGAAAGCGTGCTAGTGTTTAACAAGTGATTAATTGGTGTAAATTTGTGGATGTAACATTGGATTCTGTAAAATATTGCCAACATGGGGTCCATCCACGTTTCTGAGGTGAATTTAACAATTATTTGTCGTTTTATTCTTTTAGATATTTACGATCCTTTCTTTTCTACATCTAACCGTTATATCGACTGTCGTGGAATGTTTTCTAACGGTGTAAAATTACTAATTTTGGAAATCTATGGAAAAAGCCAGTACTCAAAGTTTCAATTTTAATACTGAAAATTGTACAACGGATACGTTGATATCAAATGTTCGTATCGTTCGTAAATATAACGGAAAATATCGGTTCAATTTGATTGCGTTCAACGTACAAACATTAAATTACTATTCTTTCAAACATATATTTTTGTTTATCAGCATTGCTTTTTCAGCTATATTTTTTATTATATTCATATCAAAACGAAATTCAATTTGTTAAATAAATTTTTTCGATGACGATCCACGCCACTAGGATTAAATCTTACATTTCTATAAATGTACAAACTCAAAGAAAATATTTCACGATAATTTCCCATTTTTGAGTATGTTTGCTTTGCTAGTTCTTCCTTGAACAGAAAGTCGAAAAGTATTCGAAAATTTATTACAGGAAAAATGTAATAAATATTGTATATCCTTACTGAACTAAAATAGAAAAAAAATAATACGTGACATACTATACATTTTCTGGAATTTTGGATATTATTTTTGGTAATAGACCGGTTGACTCCTAGCGCAAGCATCATTCACAATCGTATGTTCTGGAACAGAACCAGCGAAACATATTTCATTTAAATTTCTATCAATTGCACAAAGAAATATTTCGAAATTTTAAAACAGAATTTGAAACGTTACCCTGACCCGGTCGATAATGAAGGCCTTCACAGTTAACGAAACTTTTCCTCGACCTCTTTCCATTGTCGAGCTGTTGCAAATTGGCGATGGTCTCGTAATCAGTGCTTCGGATTTCCACCAGATTCTGTTTCGGGGCGTGAACCTCGCACACGTTCCCAGAATCTTTGACGCGCTGTATACTCGACTGATCCTCTGATCGATAGAAGAACATTTTTCTGGGATGAGACATACGTTCGAAAGCGACGTTCGAGTGGTTCAAACTGTTCTCCTTCACGTAGACCACGTTGTTCTGCTCGCGAGTAGGCACCAGTAGAATTTGCTGGGTAGATTCTTCGGGGCAGGAGACGAGTCGATAATTTACCCTCGAACTGACAAGATCTACGTTGTCGACTGAAGTGAATTGGGGCTGCTTCTTGTTCTGCATGTATATAGGGATCTTTTGAGCTTTGGAGTCGTTTTCAAAGGCCAAATACTTAATCGGTTGCTCTTCTACCACCACGGTGTTTCCAGTACATCGATTGCTGGTAAAATTTATTCGGGGTTCGCGTTTCTCCACAGGTAATATCTGTAGATTCTGAACACCTTTCAGTATACCAATGTCAGCCACATCCTCCTGACAAAAGACGCCATTTTCCAGCATCCTCTTCTTCATCTGTGGGGCCACGTTGTCATTGCTACGATCTTGACTCCCATTCAAATCTTTGCACTGGTCCACGACCACAAAACAGACTCTCTGATTATTGCCGTGACAATGCTGATCATTTTCACAGCTCGGATGCTGTTGGACTTTTCTAAGCAACACTTTGTCGCACACAACCGACTCCTGCTGCACCTGCACAGGTTGCACCTGAGACAAACTGACTTCTTTAAATTCTTGACTACCGTAGCTCGATTCGTCAGACTTCTGAGAGCAATGGAACGATCGATGACAATTGGCTGATACTCGCTGACAGTTTCTGTGAGCTGTACAGACATTCTTTAGACACTTATCTTGCTGCTGAGGGATATTCTTTCTCATCGAACAGACAACGGAGTTCTCTACCTGTCTGTCAGCTGTCAGACTGTTCGGATGCTGAGAGTGACTTGTATTATGGGTGACTTTCTTGGTGAACATTACAGTCTTCTGTACCGGACCATTTTTCTTGTTTTTCTTCGAGAAAATGTTGTCGATATTAATCCGTACTTGCTGGTCAGTCTGCATCTGCGAGTTCCTCGCGAAGCGCAGCTCATCGTTGCGCAGGCTCGGTGACGCTATTACACAGGTGTGCACATCCAGGTCTCCTGGGTCGGTGTCCAACACTGTATCCCCCAAATTTTCACTTTCCGTCACCACGGACTGCGGCGTGAACAGGACCTTCCGTTTCGACGGACCGAATAAAATTTCTTTTGGTTTATTAACTAACATGGATTCGTCGAATAAATTGACCATGTCGTTATTACTGACAACGTGGTTATGGCATCTTCGAAGTATAGCAGGTATGTGCTTCAGATTCTTCATTTTGATCTGTTGGGAGGTTTTCACCTTGTACTTCCCTGGATGCCTCTTGACCCCACTGTTCAAGATATGAACAGTCTGTGTACGCTGGTTCTTACGTTTCGTCAGGTGTTTCTTGTTATCCAAATCCTTCGGTGTTTGTCCATCAGATGCCACAAAAAGCATCGATCTGTTTCCACCCTTTGGTCTGTCAGCGTTATTCGTCTGGCTAGGTAGAATGGTCTCGAAGTATTTAATGTTCCTCTTGTGACACAAAGGAGGATCTACTTCCAGCAAAGACCTGTCCTGTTTACTGGAATCACTGAAATCATCAGTATCCAAGTCGACGTTCTGTACATTACTCTCAAGCTCCGATTCCACACGCTCCATCCCCGAGCGGCTGTCCAACAAGGACTGGTCGAACAGCAGACTCGACCTGGGAAAATCTTTCTTTTTTTCCTTCGAATGGAAATTCGACTGGGGCAACAAGAACAGATTTTTAGTCCCCTGGGAGCTGGATTCTTTGGCTTTTCTGCAACGAACCTGACTGTCCGAGTACTCAGTAGTCACTGTCGCGAGATCTGTGTCCCGTCCGTAACTGGAAGGACAGAAAATCGCTTCCGGGAGGTTTTCCCTAACGAAAGAACTTGTTGTACTGCGTTCGTTCAGAATTTTCCCGCGTTTTATCAGGTCCCTCAAAAACTGGCTACGGAAAGACTCCGCGTAGATGCTTCTCAGCTTTTCCTTCACGGTTACCAAGGGATCTAGACACCGCAAGACAACAAATTAAGGAATTCTGATGCAATTTAAGGTAGTTGGGTTAAATACCTTTCGTGAACATGTTTGGAAAGTTTGGTCCTTCGAAATTCTCTTTAGAAATCATGGCGCAGAATTCCTCGTATCGTTTCACGGCGGAATATTGCGGAGATTCGGTGTTGATCGGCTTCTTCTTCTCTGGGACCGGTTGAGAAACGCCGAGATATTGCAAAGGACCATCGTTTCTCTGACATTCGTTGGTAGGATGTCGTTTCTTTCTGTGGGAAAGGATAAAATTTTGTAATTGTGGATAATGACGGTTTTAATTGCGTCCTTTTTCACGTAATTCAACGAAAATTACCTGAGACTTACCCATCCACTTTACCCAACACTGGACTCAAGTCAGCTGGAGTTGGGTATAGAATATTCCTCGCGGTGGAATCGAGCAGTGGGTGCGTCGATTGCTCCTCGTTGTTATTGTCGATTACAACTCCTCTGGAAAATTTCAAGGCGTTTTATTTAAAATTTAAAATTTAATTTTTAAATAAACTCGAAACTCACTTCGAATTCGGATTGTAGCCTTGGAGGAGTTTCATAACATTTCCCTCCAGTCGAGCGTTATTTATATCGTCCGAAGGCGGTCCCACTTGTGCTACAAACGATATCGATTATTTAATAAAGTTTACAACAAAAAAAGTATTGGTGAAAATCAGGTATACGTACATCTTCGTATTTCTTTACTCACTGCGCCATTTCTGTATATTCCAGACAACTAAAATTGATTTATAAAAATTGAAAATGATTTTTTTCGTCATCGTTTTGCAATATTTCTACCTTTTTAAATGGTAATTTGTAGCACTTACTGGTCCCGGAAGAATTCGATTCGCTATCCTTTTTGAATTTCGCACCTTGACCAATTTGCCATCGGTTTTCGTATCCTTGCCCTACAAGAGATTATTTTTTGTTTTTAAATCAATGATCAGAGATGTAAAGATAAATAGGCGAATGAAAATGTTCCAAAACTATACATATTCCTCTCGTAAATCCGCGAAACGATGCAAAACCTTTATAAAATTACTCTGCCAGTATTTGGACGGCTTCCTGTTTCGCTGAAAAATTACATTTTCAAAAAATAAATAAAAATGTAATGCTTCGATCAGAAATTTTGAATTCGTTACAAAATAATTATTCTCTATTAATAACATCTCTACAGTATTTTCAATAATCCTGGAAAACGAGCCATAAAAATGTATCACGCTGTATCGTGATCTATCCCTTCGATCTATCGGCAGACTTCATGAGACGCGCAAACGGTTTGCTTACCCGATACCGTGACATTGACTATCAATCCCAAAACCGCTCCAACAAATACAAATATCACTCACTTCTGTCATAATTAACAAACAAATGTTCATAAAAGTAATACAATACATATTAATTAAAGTGTTTCTGTAGGAAACACTGGTGGACAGTGACAAACGATCAAACATAACCAAAACAAAACCTGACGTAACATCAACACCATTACATCTTCGACTCGTTTAACATTTTGTACATTTACACCAGAAATTAATTAAAAATCGCCAAGCTTCTTTACTGAAGAATCGTCACGTTTCACATACTGTTCTTGATTTGTGCAGCCTTTGATGCAGGTCGTCCAAGCTCCTTTTACGTTTCTTCCTCTTCGCCCGTGACTTCTGCTCGTTTCCCATTGTTTCCTTTCGCTCGTTGTCCGAGCTGTCACTGGCCGCACTGTCGCCCGCCGGTTTTCCCATATCGCGACACAGGACGAGTGGAATTACATGTATATATATACGGGTACGCGAATTCACGAGCCGACGGACGGTTGTTTACATTTGACGTGTCGAGTGTGTGTTCCCGATATACGTGGTTAGGTTATTTCACGTTCGACCGTGCGGCTCGACGGATGTTATCAACCCTGTGAACGCGACCTTTTTTTCGCGCATTTCGGAACCCATTGACGCGAGCGGAGACGTCGCGACGAGTGGCTGCCGTCCCGTGAACATAAACAAACAGTGTTTCACACGATGAAAATAAAACGTTTTATCGCATAATATGGATTCGTTAAATACGCGGACGTGAGTGATAGGACGGAAGGAGTAATTTGTGGATTGGGTACGTAATAGGACATGAAGTATGAGATACAAGATAGAAAAGTCGATTTATTATCGGACGAAGTGAAGATTTTTGTGTCTGTTTAGTCAAAATTTTTGTATTCGGACGTTTTCGGTGAGATACTTGTGGCGGCACGGGGTGTGTAATATGTTTGGATTTCAACCAGTGTCGAAGTCAAATGAGGATTTATGGTGGTACTGACAGGATATATTAAGAATTATAATTCGCAGATTAAAGTGTGGTGCTGGATTAAATATATCGAAGAAATGGTGTTACATAACCTTTTGGAGAGACATTCGTAAAGAACGAATTGTTTTGTTTGTATTTAGACGCACGCTTGACTCGTTCCTCCGCCGCCATCTTGTCCGCCATGTTGGACACGTTCGAGTTCAATTCGGGAACAGACGCGGCGACGATCAGTGCATTATTTTACGTTGTCACGGTGTTTGTGTGCGTTGTAATTTAATAATAGTGTATAATAGTGTTGAAACTAATGAATTTGACGTTAATTGGAGCTGGAAGCAGGTGCTGATGACGTATATTGTGGAAGAATTTGCATTTTGTGTGTATGTAAGAGGATACGGCTGTCAAAGTGAGTACATTTTTCACAATTTTTAAGAGGTCTACATTTAGAGTAATTAAACTTGTTTAATCTGTGTTTATATGTACTTGAATCATGATACACACATCTGTGAATCAGCACATATACTTACATGCAATAAAAGGAAGTTACATTTTCAACAACTTCCATCTAACAATTCAGCAAATAATACTCATAATATATAAATCTTGCAATAGTATATTAGAGACATTACAATAATGAATAATTAAATAAGTATATAGAATACTAGTTACGTGTGTATACATAAATATAGTAACAATTATAATATAAAACACTTATTTGTTATCCTGGAGGATTCCTTCATAAGAAATGATATTTATTCTCTAGAATAAATAATTAGTAGACTGCAGATTTAATGTATTACACATATATGTAGATTCATTAAGTAGAAGGTAAATAGAGCTTAAGTGAACAGTATCATCAATATTAAAAACAGGGTAAACATCGTTTTCGTAGTGTAGTGGTTATCACGTGTGCTTCACACGCACAAGGTCCCCGGTTCGATCCCGGGCGGAAACAATTTTCTTTTGCATCTTATGCTTTTTTATTTAATTTATCGTATTTATTAGTATTATTAAAAGATTTATGATATGAATTTCATACTGATATTAATCTAGGAAAAAAAAATATTAAATTTCCTGCTGTATTATTGATCAATTGCGCCATCTGGTTGCGAAAACAGTGCAAACAATGAAGATACCTGTATTATCGACAGAAGATTATTCATTTTACTTATAGACAGTAGGTAATTTAGATAACAATATTCACAAGATAAACTCCCAAAGAACTGCAATTTAATAACGATTAAACGAATGAAACTGAAATTATGAAGATAAGGGCAAACGTCTGAATTTTGAAAATAAATTACCATTAAAAATTGTAAGCTACTCATCTCGATTTACCATAATTTATTAATGGTCGTATAAGACGTAGTGGATGATTGAATTTGCTAAATTGTACTCGATCAAAGAATGGAAATTTTCGACTGCCACTGCTCCTTTCAATCCATCAAAATTAATTTCCCAAATAATTATTACTTCCAAGGACTTAATATTCGTGTCAATAGTTTATGTAACAGGTATTGCTGATGTAAATTTCAGCAACTGCCTCTTGAAAATTATTTTATACTGTAATTAATAGAACATAAGATTTCAAAAATTCGTGCAAATTCAATTTTTCGAGGGATTTTTAATCACGATAAATTACTGTTTTTATCAACCTTCATTATAGACATTCAAATTAGTTAACCCTCGCGATCCTATGACCGGGTCACCGGTGACCCGTCGAAGAACACAGTCACTAAACTGACTACGTGAAAACTGATTCTGATTAAATTTTATATTACGTATTCTATTAACTATGCGAAAAGTCTTCGATCCAACGAATACGTATATTCGATTCCTATCGCTTGCACCTAGTTCGTGCCGCGCAACGGTTTGTCATGGTCCATCGTATATTTTAAGTCCTGCTTTATCGCTCTCCTGCGTAATTACGGAGCAAGTTTACGAGGCCTGTGAGCCAGCCTGAAATCGTGGCTCGAATGAACGTAAAATGACTGGAGAACGTAACATGCAACCTTCTTCGCTGGAAACACCTCTTTTTCCTTCATTTTTCTAAATACACAAATTACAACGTCAAAATTTCGCACAATAAAAATTGTCCTCAATATCTTTCTAAAACTTACCAGAAACTCAACGAGACAAGAAAAATTAATGTTTCCACCTTCTACCGCTGCTTCTTCATCCGATCAGCAAAAGATACTGTTTATTTCCTTAATTAACAACACATTACCTAACGACAACCTACGTCAAAATGAATCTTAACATAACAAATAATTCACAATTTTTTATAAACTTTAGAATATTATTAATATGGATACATGAGCGCGAAATACCCAACGATAAATATCGCGAAAGGAACTACAGTAGGACCTCCATTATTGTCACACCACTTATCCGAACGTCGTTTAATTCGTTGTTCGATTATCCGAACTTCTATACAAGTCAGAAATACGTTTCAAATAAACTTTTGTTAAAACTCGCTATATTGCATAATACATATTAATTTTTTTGTTTTTATATCTTTGCTTCGTCGAGGTTTTACTGTAATTCTGGTCGCTATTTTCATCTTTAATTCCATAGGCGGCATTGTCCCTCGAACCTTGCGAATTTGTTAGAACCAACATCTGTATATCTAATTAGGGAATAAGAGTACACGCCTATAAGACAGTTCCTCGTCAGGTAAGAGGCCTGAAGGAGCCTCGAGGAAGGACACGGGTTTCACCCTAATGAATGAGAATGTCGTATAGCCACGACAAGAGCACGTTGTCGACCGGTGCTTGAAGCGAGAAAGTGTACGTATATCTTGAAGCTGGAACCACAGAGGTGATGTTCCGTGCAGCCTGGAAAGGCTATCTTTATTGGGCGAATCGCGAGCCTATTTTCACGGACATTGCAATGGCCCTAAACCTAGCGAATCGGTTTTCCTGGTCGTAAATGTCCATGATCCATTGAAATTTATGACGTCCTTTGCCGGTAGGAAAGAGTCGATTAAGGTATTGATAGCGTCGCAATTATACCACTTGGCTCGTAGGAAAAGTATCGTTGAAAATATATCAATGGGGTATTAAAGTTTCACCAATCGTCGTAGTAATGAATAGACCCTGGTATACGTTAAATTAGTATCTTTATTGAAATAGTTCTAGCTTACTTGGATGAAGGTCTTGAAAACATGTGTTAAAGTAGACCCATGTTCTCGTCAACCAAGGGTTAAATCACACGAACTTCTCTCTACTATGTTTTCTCTTCTCAGATTCTCACTTATCCCAACTTCACAGACCACCCTGTAGATACTTTAAAAAAGTCATTAGTTTTCTTGTAAACTGAATAATTAAGGACTTTCAAGTAGTAACAGAATTTAACCAAACACTAATAATCAGCTCTATAATTAGTGTCTACAATTTAAAGGTTATGTACAGGTTAGTATCTCTCGATATGTACTTGGTGGCTAAAATGATGGCCTGAAGTGAAACGCAAGAAGGCTAGAAAATAACGTCTCTTAGTGGATGAGAACACGTAGAAGATGAGAGAGACCAGAACGGAACGCAATGGGGGTTTATGTAACTCGGGCATTAGTGACCGTGACGTCACAACGACGCGACACGGTGCAACGGTAGCAGACGGTCGATAGTGCAGTCAACTACTGCATTACACGTAGTTTACCTGTAGGGGTCTATGAAGTCTCCATTCGCGGCCAAGATAACCACGTGGTGGTCGCATGAGGACGCTATCTGTGATCTTACAAATGTGTCTATATATATAGACTCGATTAGTTTGTAGATGCTTGTAGTACTTTTCAGACAGGCTCTCAAAAATTCCGAATTTACTGAACAATCCTCTGAAACCCACCGAACAATTACCTTGAAGCGTGAAAAGAAAAGAAACTCGAAGCATCCGAATAGCTAGATCAGGGACTAGTTAAGCACACAATTGATGAATCCCTCATCAATTAGGCGGCAGAAACAAAACGAGCCAGCGGGAGGAGGTAAGACGGAGGGGATTCTGAAACGATGAGAATGTATCAATCAGCACAATTTAATGCGTGAGAGGCTACGGAAGGGGAGTGGGGTAGGAAGAAGATAGAATCGAAGGGAGCGAGTAGGATAGTGCAAGTAGGAAATGGTGGCAGAAGGCAATAGAAAGCGGGAGCGAGTTGGAGGATAGCGAAATGAATGCAACGACAAGGAGGCCAGCAGATCAAGAGATGAACGCAGCGAAGAGGGGAGTAGGAGACGCGGGAGCCGTGAGGAGGACAGTGGCGGACTCTGGAATCCGTGAGATCGGAAGGGGGGACGACGGAGTAGAGGCAGTGTTGCTAGGAGAGACACAGTGAGCTGGGGAACGCATTAACGGAATGAGACGGAGATCAGTGAGAGTAGGGTCTGGCCGATGCAGAATCTGTGCGACCAAGTAAAGAGAACAGACAGGGACAGATCTAACGCTGACGAACACGAGGGGAACGAGAAGCACAAACTGTTCGAGCGAGACAACGTTACCCAGGCTGACGATGTACACACGCGAAATTCGGGGAATCAAGACGTAGGGATAT